AGTAATGTACACAATCTACAGAATAAAAGATAGAATGATGAATCAAATAAAACAAAAGTTGTTGTTGTGAGATCATTAAGGTTTATTTTTGTTGTGAATATTTTAGATTTGTTGTGAATGATGGTTGGTGTTTACAGCCTTGGGATCACACAACTGTAGTTTCGGCCTTTAAGCAGGTTAATCTGTATCGCTGTGTTTCAGGTGTGGTACATTAAAGGGGACATATCATGCTATATTTGAACAATATATTGTAGGGCCATACCTTTATAAAGTATATAAATATAGTTTTAGCCATGCCTCATTTCGCTCTATTTGCTCTTTCCAGCCCTGTTTTTGCAAGGGGCTGATTCAACATCATGTTTTATGGTGAGGGATGCGTTGCCATGGAAACGGCATATGGTGAGATCTCAGATTTCACGTAGAGCTGTTGAGGCATGGAGCGGTGACATACAAGTGAAGATTGGGGGACGACCATGTCCATTGGAGTTACTACAACACTGTGTTTCATGGCAAGGGATCTTTCACCATGGCAACGGCATATGATGACACCCCATAATTAACATAGAGCTGTTCAGGGCCGGAGCATTAATGATAGTCTGAAGTCTGGTGCCGTTTGGACGATTTTCCATTGATTTATGACAACACCGTGTTTTATGGCGAGGGATGCGTTGCCATGGCAACGGCATATGATGACACCCCATAATTGACATAGAGCTGTTTAGAGCCGGAGCATTAATGATAGACTGAAGTCTGGTGCCGTTTGAACGATTTTCCATTGAGTTACGACAACATGTTTTATGGCGATAAATCGCGTTTTTTCCAACGCCAAATTCAAAATGGCTGACTTTCTGTACGTTTTTGTATACCCCTTCAAGGGGATTTTTTGTTTGTCTCCGCACCCTAGATATGGGTAGCGAGTTTCGTTCGTTTACGTGAAAGTGGTGGTCACATTGGTTTATTACAACAGACGCTTCTGATCTGTTTCCCAGCAGACCGTCTCGGCCTGGAGCTTTTTGGTTGTACTTTGTGTCTTGTTTGAACTCTGATTGCACTAATCTGTTGATGCCGAAATATGTTTGAGCTCTAGGCGACTTGTTTGGGTCGAGGAAGTTATTCTAGAGATATTTTGTGTCCTTTTTTTCTTTGTTTTTCTTCAGTTGTTGTTGTGAGATCATTAAGGTTTATTTTTGTTGTGAATATTTTAGATTTGTTGTGGAATGATGGTCTGTGTTTACAGCCTTGGGATCACACAACTGTAGTTTCGGCCTTTAAGCAGGTTCATCTGTATCGCTGTGTTTCAGGTGTGGAACATTAAGTTACGCTGCACTTTGATTCGTCTATTCACCTCATGAAGCCCCGCCCCTTTTCCCACTTCCTGTTCAAATGCTTATGTCTTAGTTCTTCCTGTTAGCACTAGCTAACAACACTGTAAGAACTTTGAAACATTTAAGAAAAAGACAGAATTAAGAGAAAAACATTGGAATTTTCAGAAAAAGGGCAAATTATGAGATTTTCAAAAAAAAAGTAAATGTTGTGATTTCAAAATAAAGTCAGGAATTTTGAGAAATTGAAAGTCAAAATGTGAAGATCGGTAGATCAAAGGGAGAATTTGGAGAAAAAAAAGGAAAAACTGAGATTTTCAGCAATAAACAGCATTTTGGGTTTTCGGGAATTTTGAGAAAAATAAATTCTTCAAGCAGACCCTCTCATACAGCAGCTACTCAGCTCCAAACATCAACGTAAAACCTCTAATATACGATTTTTTTTATCGAAATCACATATTAGTGATCTAAACATTTCTCACCTGAAAAACTGTTATGACTTAAAGGTGGGGTAGGTAATTTTGGAGAAACCAGCTCGAGTGCGCTAGAATTTGAAAACCCAGTCGGAACAAATATGCCAATTCCTCACAGAGCCCCTCCTCCAACACACGAACATGACCAATGAGGGCACGAGATACGTTTTACACTGAACAAAAATATAAATGCAACACTTTTGTTTTTGCTCCTCTTTTTCATGAGATGAACTCAAAGATCTAAAACATTTTCTATAAACACAAAATAACCATTTCTCTCAAATATTGTTCACAAATCTGAAAAAATCTGTGATAATAATAATAATTCCGTACATTTATTATAGCGCTTTTCCAGATGCTCAAAGCGCTTTACAAATACACATTACACATATTTGTTATACATGCAATGGTCACTGATAGTGAGCACTTCTCCTTTGCCGAGATAATCCATCCCACCTCACAGGTGTGGCATATCAAGATGCTGATTAGACAGCATGATTATTGCACAGGTGTGCCTTAGGCTGGCCACAATAAAAGGCCACTCTGAAACGTGCAGTTTTGCTTTACTGGGGGGGGTCCGAAAACCAGTCAGTATCTGGTGTGACCACCATTTGCCTCACGCAGTGCAACACATCTCCTTCGCATAGAGGTGATCAGGTTGTTGATTGTGGCCTGTGGAATGTTGGTCCACTCCTCTTCAATGGCTGTGCGAAGTTGCTGGATATTGGCAGGAACTGGAACACGCTGTCGTATACGCCGATCCAGAGCATCCCAAACATGCTCAATGGGTGACATGTCCGGTGAGTATGCTAGCCATGCAAGAACTGGGATGTTTTCAGCCTCCAGGAATTGTGTATAGATCCTTGCAACATGGGGCCGTGCATTATCATGCTGCAACATGAGGTGATGGTCGTGGATGAATGGCACAACAATGGGCCTCAGGATCTCGTCACGGTATCTCTGTGCATTCACAATGCCATCAATAAAATGCACCTGTGTTCGTCGTCCATAACATACGCCTGCCCATACCATAACCCCACCACCACCATGGGCCACTCGATTCACAACATTGACATCAGAAAACCGCTCACCCACACAACGCCACACTCGCTGTCTGCCATCTGCCCTGAACAGTGAAAACCGGGATTCATCCGTGAAGAGAACACCTCTCCAACGTGCCAGACGCCATCGAATGTGAGCATTTGCCCACTCAAGTCGGTTACGACGACGAACCGGAGTCAGGTCGAGACCCCGATGAGGACGACAAGCATGCAGATGAGCTTCCCTGAGACGGTTTCTGACAGCAGAAATTATTTGGTTATGCAAAGCGATTGTTGCAGCAGCTGTCCGAGTGGCTGGTCTCAGACCATCTTGGAGGTGAACATGCTGGATGTGGAGGTCCTGGGCTGGTGTGGTTACACGTGGTCTGCGGTTGTGAGGCCAGTTGGATGTATTGCCAAATTCTCTGAAACGCCTTTGGAGACGGCGTATGGTAGAGAAATGAACATTCAATTCACGGCAACAGCTCTGGTGGACATTCCTGCTGTCAGCATGCCAATTGCACGCTCCCTCAAAACATGCGACATCTGTGGCATTGTGCTCTGTGATAAAACTGAACATTTTAGAGTGGCCTTTTATTTTGGCCAGCCTAAGGCACACCTGTGCAATAATCATGATGTCTAATCAGCATCTTAATAGGCCACACCTGTGAGATGGGATGGATTATCTCGGCAAAGGAGAAGTGCTCACTATCACAGATTTTTTCAGATTTGTGAACAATATTTGAGAGAAATGGTTATTTTGTGTTTATAGAAAATGTTTTAGATCTTTGAGTTCATCTCATGAACAATGGGAGCAAAAACAAAAGTGTTGCATTTATATTTTTGTTCAGTGTATCTGCCTAAAATAGTTGAAATTGAACGTAAACTATATAAAACACCACATCCGTAGAGATTAACCCATTTTTGCCCACTATTCAAATTGACTTTGGTTGAAGTTATATATATATATATATATATATATATATATATATATATATGTATATATATATATATATATATATATAGATAGAGCATATAATTGATGCAGTCTTTCTGAACACTTTTAAAAGAAAATACTGCAAATTAAGAATATTTGTAATGTTCTGCACAGATAGCGCCTTAACTTGAAATTGAAAACATGTGGAAACTTTATTAATACAGCAGATGAAAAGAGTTGTGGAAGGATAAATTCTTCATGGGCTTCAATGGCTCGCTAGTAAACTGTGTTTTATGGTTGCTTGTATTATCCTCAGATAGTCGGACTCGAGTGCCGATTTTCAGGACTCGTGACTCGACTTGCGCACTGATTGACGCGACTCAGACTTGGACTCATGAATTCTCGCGCACGATGACTTGAACTCGGACTCGTGAATTTTTCCCCCCACGATGACTCAGACTCAACTTGTACATTGACGCTCCGACTTGGATTCGGACTCGAGCAAATTTTATCTGGAGTCTGATGTCCTCTATCCTGGCGTCTGCAACTGCGAGGCGAGTTCACGGACTGGGCCCCGCTATTCCAGTCTAAAGACGTCTAGAGACACACCTCGCATCGTGCTGTATGCTTTCACACATTCTGCTTCCACATTGGAAAAGAGCAGCACAAAATGCTCGTTATGTGGAAAAAAGATTGAAGAGAAGGCTCTGTAACACATTACTCTAAGGATCGAGTTCAGACATGTAGGCTGTCTTGAAATAGGAATCGACAAGCAGAACCGAAACTAACATTTCTAAGTGATACTGATGGAGTCGAAATGTTGGAACCGGTAACCAACCCTAATCACACATGAAAAAGAAGGAAACGTAAAGTGGTCGCAAACAACAATGGCGGACACGGACAATTTGTGAATGAGTTCAGCCTTTTGCTGAATTTATCAATAATTTGCCAATAAATATGGGCGAAAAACGGACACATCAATGGAAACATGTCCCGGACGATCAGATGTGTGCTTTTTAGCACGCATTCAGTGAATCAACAAAAGTAGTTCAATTAAGTAAATCAATTAAATTTGTTTTAAATTGAATTATTTTTGTTTTGTTTTTCAAATCAACATATTAACATATTACATTTGTTTTATTAATGAATGAACTCATTGATGTTGGGTTCAGGAGTCATTTTGCTGACTCATGTTAACGGAGAGGAGACGCCATCTTTATCTTTTTCTGATATCAGTATTAGGATGCAGCAGCAGAGACCTGGACCTGGACCTGAACCTGAACCTGGACCTGGACCTGGACCTGGACCTGGACCTGGACCTGGACCTGGAGATGGAGATGGACCTGGAGATGGAGATGGAGATGGAGATGGACCCAGCTGTGTGTCCATGAAGAGTGACGGGTCTATGGCGTCTCCTATTTACTTTAAAGCTGGACAAAGTGCTGATGAAAGGTAAAAATTTAAAACTGGACTCTGTTACTATCTGACTCTGGAGAAGAGTAAATCCTGCTCCAACGTACCTCTCTTGAGTTGGTTTCAAATGACTTCTATTTGTATTGTGAATCATATAATTAGCAAAGAAAGATTACTCTACCAAATTAAGACATTAAACATGGATTGTTTTAGACGACCCCCCCCTTCTGTTTGACGGCAGGCAGCGAGCTGGTAATGGCATGAAGGGCGGCGTGAGGTGTCTGGTGGTTTTATTACTCTGACTCTCTTTGGAGAAGGCACCACAGTCTGGTTCAAATCAGGCTCCAGATAATAATGGGGCTTTCTGTTCCTCCCACCATCAGCTGCTGGGAGGCTTCTGATGGTCGGACGCTTTCAGGCCTCAGTAATGTTGGTGTTTTTATAACCCCCCCCCCCCCCCTCCAGCTGCTGAGCCACAGTTACCCTGTTATTCTGTCTCCATCTCAGAACACCTTCAGTCAGCTGTGTGCAGATTAGACTCTTTAAATGTTCTGGATGTTTTCTCCACAGAGTTCTGCAGGAGTTCTCAGAGGTTCCCAGTGATCAGTCCGCCCCGAAGCATCACACAGACCTGGACTCCATATTTATCGTGTGTACAAATATACATTTACTGTGAACTACAGAGGATCTACCATTCAGGTCCTGACTGTGTCCATGTTGCTCTGTTTAGACCAGCAGGCCTTCAGACGGACAGATGATCACATGTTGTCTTCTTTAAATTAACTGTTGCTGCGTCGGTGGACCTGTGTTAATCTGACTATTAATCAGACCTACTGATTGACCTTTCAGAAGCTAATGAGTCTATGAAAATTTAGGATCGGATCCAGGTCGATCTCTAAAAGGTCTTACCTCTGCTAACTTCTGGAGAACCAGGTTCAATGAACTGCTGATCGAAGGCATATGACTAAATCTGTTCAAGAGATCCCAGAGGGTTCTGTAGTGAGGTGTGGCCCTGCCTAAGTGTGAGGGTGGTCAAGATTTGTGTCGGGTGTTATTTTTTCAATAATGTCCTCCTCGCTGCACATTATCCCTAACATAATAACTTTAGTTTTAACGTTATTCATCTGATCAATGTTCATCAACCTGTTCCAGCTGCTGGAGGAGAACATCGTGACTTTTGTGAAGAACGAGCTGAAGAAGATCCAGAAGGCTCTGAGTTCAGATTACCCAGAAGGCTTAGAGAGTCAGAGTGAGGATGAGGAGGTGTTGGACGGTGAGGATGAAGAGCAGAGGAGCAGCAGAGAGGCAGTTCTGAACATCACCCTGCACTTCCTGAGGAGCATGAAGCAGGAGGAGCTGGCTGAGCGTCTGCAGAGCAGTAAGAGGGTTTAACACATTTAACATGATGGGGAGGAGATGGAGGAACATGGAGAAGCTTACATTTACAAACTCTGCTGTTAATATACTGCACACGTCTGCGTCAGTGTGTCCTCTGAGGAGCTGATTCAAACTGTACAGCCACACTTACATGTTCAGAGTCTCAGTGTTTCTGCAGGACCCACTCACTGATTCCACTTGTTGTTCGTTCATTCAGGATCTCCTGCTGCAGTGTGCAGTAAACTCAAATCCACCCTGAAGGAGAGGTTCCAGTGTGTGTTTGAGGGCATTGCTAAAGCAGGAAACCAAACCCTTCTGAACCAGATCTACACAGAGCTCTACATCACAGAGGGGGGGTCTGCAGAGGTCAACAAGGAACATGAGGTCAGACAGATTGAAACAGCATCCAGGAAACCACACAGACCAGAAACAACCATCAGACAAGAAGACCTCTTTAAAGCCTCACCTGGAAGAGATGCACCAATCAGAGCAGTGATGACAAAGGGCGTGGCTGGCATTGGGAAAACAGTCTTAACACAGAAGTTCACTCTGGACTGGGCTGAAGGCAAAGCCAACCAGGACATCCAGTTCATATTTCCATTCACCTTCAGAGAGCTGAACGTGGTGAGAGAGAACAAGTACAGCTTGGTGGAACTTGTTCATCACTTCTTCCCTGAAACTAGAGACGCAGGAATCTGCAGGTTCGATCAGTTCCCGGTCGTGTTCATCTTTGACGGTCTGGATGAGTGTCGACTTCCTCTGGACTTCCTCAACACTGAGATCCTGACTGATGTCACAGAGTCCACCTCAGTGGATGTGCTGCTGACAAACCTCATCAGGGGGAAGCTGCTTCCCTCTGCTCGCCTCTGGATAACCACACGACCTGCAGCAGCCAATCAGATCCCTCCTGAGTGTGTGGACATGGTGACAGAGGTCCGAGGGTTCACTGACCCACAGAAGGAGGTTTACTTCAGGAAGAGATTCAGAGATCAGGAGCAGGCCGGCACCATCATCGCCCACATCAAGAGCTCACGAAGCCTCCACATCATGTGCCACATCCCAGTCTTCTGCTGGATCTCTGCTTCAGTTCTGGAGGAGGTGTTGAAAACCAGAGAGGGAGGAGAGCTGCCCAAGACCCTGACTGAGATGTACATCCACTTCCTGGTGGTTCAGTCCAAAGTGAAGAACATCAAGTATGATGGAGGAGCTGAGACAGATCCACACTGGAGTCCAAAGAGCACGGAGATGATGGAGTCTCTGGGGAAACTGGCTTTTGAGCAGCTGCAGAAAGGCAACCTGATCTTCTATGATCACGACCTGACAGAGTGTGGCATCGATATCAGAGCAGCCTCAGTGTACTCAGGAGTGTTCACACAGGTCTTTAGAGAGGAGAGAGGACTGTACCAGGACAAGGTGTTCTGCTTCGTCCATCTGAGCGTTCAGGAGTTTCTGGCTGCTCTTCATGTCCATCTGACCTTCATCAGCTCTGGAGTCAACCTGCTGTCAGAAGAACCAACAACCTCCCAGCAGTATGAGGTCAAACCTGAACTCTCACATCTCTACCAGAGTGCTGTGGACCAGGCCTTACAGAGTCCAAACGGACACCTGGACTTGTTCCTCCGCTTCCTCCTGGGTCTTTCACTGCAGACCAATCAGAAGCTCCTAAGAGGCCTGCTCACACAGACAGGAAGTGACTCAGAGACTGAAGAGGAAACAGTCCAGTACATCAAGAAGAAGATAGAAGAGGCTCCCTCTCCAGAGAGAAGCATCAACCTGTTCCACTGTCTGAATGAACTGAATGATCGTTCTCTAGTGAAGCAGATCCAACAGTACCTGAGTTCAGGAAGTCTCTCCACAGAGAATCTCTCTCCTGCTCTGTGGTCAGCTCTGGTCTGACCACAGCTCTGGTCTTCATCTTACTTCATCAGGAGAAGATCTGGACGTGTTTGACCTGAAGAAATACTCTGCTTCAGAGGAGGCTCTCCTGAGGCTGCTGCCAGTGGTCAAAGCCTCCAACAAAGCTCTGTACGTGAACACATAACTATCCAGGTTACATTTATTTATTATTTAATCAGAAAATGATAAAAGTGTATAATTGATTTCTTCTGTATTACTGATTCCTCTCCAGACTGAGTGTCTGTAACCTCTCAGAGAGAAGCTGTGCAGCTCTGTCCTCAGTCCTCAGCTCCCAGTCCTCTAGTCTGAGAGAGCTGGACCTGAGTAACAACGACCTGCAGGATTCAGGAGTGAAGCTGCTGTCTGCTGGACTGGAGAGTCCACACTGTGAACTGAAGACTCTCAGGTTAGTGAAAAGCTGTTTAAAAATGTTGACCATCTGAACACCTGATTACTTCATATATTAACTATTCAATCAATCAATGTTTATTTATATAGCCCAATATCACAAATGTTACATTTGTCTCAGTGGACTTTACAGTTTGTACAAACTATTGGATGGACCTTTTATTTAATTATGTTAGTGTTTGTACATTGCCAGAGAGAAGTTGTGAAGCTCTGTCCTCAGCTCTTGGGTTGCAGTCCAATAGACCAAAAATCAGCTCCTAACGTCTAACCCAGGGGTGCCCAACCTTTTTTTAAACAAGAGCTACGTTTAAACCAGTCTGCCGAGATCTACCAGTCCAAATAGATGGGGGGGGGGGGGGGAGTCAACTGGGGGGAGCCTCACATCGGGGAAACGGTGGACCTCTGTCGGTGCAACTTCAATGATGCCTTTTAAAAACATAAAAAATGAAGGCCGTTGAAGGCCATCAGCGAATCGAGCCGGCCCTTGACCTGTTCTGTGATTCTCCAGATTCTACAGATGGCCAGTCTGCGGAGGGTAGAAAATACATACCGGAAGTAAACAAAGACGTGCAACGGGAAGGTGTCTTAATAATTAAAATATTAAATGAAACAATCTCATCTTTTAAACTGTTAAACCCCAAGGTCCCCCGCCGGCGGGAAATGTTACTGCAGATCTGATGATACCACCACAGAGTTGGTCATCAATATTTGGTTGAAGGTTTTCAGCTACAAAAGACGAAGATGATCCACAATATTCTCGAATGTGTTTGTTAGTGGAATCAACAAAGTTCTTCTAGAAATCACCACTCAGCTCAAAAGTGGCCAGCTGTTCCTACCTTTCCCCCCTCCAGATATCTCTGTGTCCTCTTACAGTAAACAATTATATAATCATTGCTGGAACGAGAACAACAGATGAACCGTGTGTGTGTGTGTGTGTGTGTGTGTTTGTGTGTGTGTGTGTGTGTGTGTGTGTGTGTGTGTGTGTGTGTGTGTGTGTGTGTGTGTGTGTGTGTGTGTGTGTGTGTGTGGTGTGTGTGTGTGTGTGTGGTGTGTGTGTGTGTGTGTGTGTGGTGTGTGTGTGTGTGTGTGTGTGTGTGTGTGTGTTGTGTGTGTGTGTGTGTGTGTGTGTGTGTGCAGTCTGTCAGGCTGTCTGGTCACAGAGGAAGGCTGTGTTTCTCTGGCTTCAGCTCTGAGCTCCAACCCCTCCTCCCATCTGAGAGAGCTGGACCTGAGCTACAATCATCCAGGAGACTCAGGAGAGAAGCTGCTGTCTGCTGGACGTGAAGATCCACTCTGGAGACTGGAGACACTCAGGTACAGACAGACAGACGGACGGACGGACGGACTGAGTCTCTGTCACTGACTGAGGGACTCTGCTTCCTGTCTAATGGTGGATTGGAGTGAAGGTGTATGAAGTTGGTCCTGACTGTGTTTCTTCCTGCAGGATGGACCATGGTGGACTGCAGTGGTTGAAACCTGGTCTGAGGAAGTGTGAGTGTGCTTTCAGTTTGATTCCTCAGAGCTGCACAGGTTACACTCCACATGCAGGGCTCAACAGTAACGGTTGCCATTGGCAACCATTCAGAAAAAATGTCAACCACTTCTTGGCCTTTGGTTGCCTTCAGTGGCAACCAGTTTTTAACATAAATAAATAAGGACAGCAAACAGCAAAATGTGCACCCAAAAATAGATAAATGTTCATTATTTGTTGCATTAAGAGTGATATTTAATTATTGTTGTGACCAGTCGGAACCTGATACTTAAGTTGCACGTGCATTGGTGTGATTACGGAGCCAGAAAGCGATGCACCTTTACTCGCGTGCGCGGTGCGGCGTGTGTTTGTTTTACAAAAAATGGCGAAGCAAATTAAGTTGTTTGACTGTGGGGTAAAAAGTTCGGCCAACCCGTCAACATCTCAGACTACTGTTCAAAGTGATTCAACTGATAAAGCTCAAGGTGAACCCGAACGAAAAGCAAAGAGGAAATGTGTAAAGTCTTGAGAGGCGAAATATATATTAAGTACATTCTGCTCCGTTGTGCATTCACTTCCGGTAAAGGTTCCTTCAAAATAAGAGTCCCGATCTTATTACTACCAAAATAAAAGTGCTAAACGAAACTTTACCATAGGAAAATATTGACATACAAATATAATCACTTCTATAAAACACATTTTAAATAGTTAGACATATTAAAGGTAATTTACAGCATTCATAATTAATATCTAATTCTTACTGTGAATGGTTTTCATTTCTTTAACATTAGAAATGTTTTAGTCTGGCCAATCCAGACTTCAATGCTGAAGGGCCAATGGGTCTATGGTGGGGGTCAGCACCAAGCTCAAGACTTCAATGCTGAAGGGCGAATGGGTCTATGGTGGGGGTCAGCACCAAGGTCAGGAAAACCCAAACTTGAAAGGGAGACAATGGATGACCAAGAAACTAGTGATCTGTGAAGAATATGACAACAGCTGCACTACTGGTATTTAGTATACCAGCAATTGAGGGTGGACAAGTTTACTACCACTTAAGTTTCAAATAATTGCGTTAATTACTTATTATAAAGCATTTGAACATTCTTTTGTGTCACATTTTCATTATTAAGTTGATGTATAACTGTATAGTATCTTAATTATTTAAAATATAAGGTGTCTAAAAATGGCAACCGTATTTTCAGTTTTGGCAACCAAAAGCTGATGACTGGTTGCCTGGCAACCACTTTTAAAAGTTAGCGTTGAGCCCTGACATGAGATCCAGAAACGTTGGGTTACGTATTGTAACCCTTGTTATATTAGCACAGGCGGAGCCCTCTACTGGACTCTATGGGTACTACCTTATCATGCAAGCATTCACCTACTGAGATTTCTATGGACGTAGCCGGCCCCGGGGCGGGCCTACCTGAATGCGTGGGCATCTCACTTCCGTATAAAAGGAGGCCTCGCCTCCTGACCACCATCCTACACCACTCTTCAGCGAGCGGTATAGGACAGACAGTGCCCCAAGGTAGAGGGCTCCGCCTGTGCTAATATAACAAGGGTTACAATACGTAACCCAACGTTATATCTCTCACAGGCTCCGCCCTCTACTGGACTCTATGGGTACAGTGGGCGGAGCCCCGATGTATGCACGCACTGTCGTCCAGCACACCGTTCCACCTCACTGTCCCTGACCCATCTTAGAGACAATGGGCGTCCATTCTCAGGAGAAGTCTGACAGTGGTGCGTTTACCCAAAGTGACAGACCTAATTTTAGCTCTAATTAGGAGGAGGGAAAACCACCTATTTGTAGCCCTTCAAAGAGCCCCAAACAACGGACTAATGACCTCCAGCATCTCCCCCTGACATGCACAATTCCATAACCTCGCACACCGTGAGACCCCGGGCCCCCGGACTTAAGCACTCCCCCACGGACTAAACCCAGATGTTCACACCCTACAGAACCTCATGCCCCTGGGAATCTTAAATGGGGGGTGGATTTTGTGTTGTTCTATCGTCCGCCCATCGGCATCCATATTCGTCCTTATTCACAGCACCACCCACCCTCCTGTGGAGGATGTTCTCATGGCCCTGGTAACACTTAAAGGTGGTGGATTTTGTGGTGCTTTACTGTCCGCACACCAGCATCCATATTCATCCTTATTCACAGCACCACCCACCCTCCTGTGGAGGATGTTCTCATGCTCCTGGTAACCCTTTAAATAGTCTGATGCTACCACTGCACTTTACAAGCCAGAAATAATGTTTAAATTGTCGGGGGAAGTGTTTTTAAACATCTGGAAGAGATTTTTAGCCTGTCATTTTGCAAGATATCATTTAACATTGAAGCTCTCTTGGAGAAGGACAGAATATGTCCATTTCCAGGAGAGTTTCAATGTTAAATCATATCTTGCAAAGTGACAGGCTAAAAACCAGGAATAAGTGTTTCAAAGGCGGGAAAAGTTGTTTAAAATAGTCTGATACCTCCAGGGCGCATCACCGCATTTTACAAGCCAGGGAAGGTGTCTGAATCCTGGGTAAACTTTGTTTAAATAATCTGATACCTGGCACTGTATCAACCCCTGGGAACCTTAAACGTTATTAAAATGTTTTTTTATTTATTTAATTATCACATTATTTTTACAAAAACAGTATACACAGTATGCATAATAAACATAATACAAACATGATAAAAACATGATTAGCGGGGGCCCGGGGGCCATATTAGCCATCTGACTTGTACGGTGCACCAGGGGAAAAAGGCTGAGTCCACGGCCTCTACCCCCACATCAGGAGTATCAACCGGCCCTGAAGAAGAGGTATCGCTGCTCTCCGCCCCTGAGCCCTCTTCGGAGGTATCTCACGGCGGTAGACCTCCTTCTGATGATGCTGCTGCAGCTGCTGCCGCCCTGAACATGGAGCCGATCTTCAATCCCTCCTTTATTCCAGGCGTATTCACGTAGAACCGGTCTGCAGTGCTTACGTCGTGACACATAAACCTGGCGAGAATCAACCTGCTTTCTGGATCTTGGTGATGCTTGATATTGTCAGCCAGGGCAGTGCGCAGGATTGTGAAGGTGACGGCTGTTTCTAGCCCAGCATCAGCCCAAGCCCTCTTCAAGTGAGCGTTCAGGTTCCTGGAGGCATGCTTCCCCGTTGTGAAAAGGAAGAATTCATTCTGAGGACCCGACAAGCCCTCTTTTATCCCCATCCACCGCATGACCCAGCTAAACTCCTTTACTGTAAGCACCAGCTGTGCTTCGCCAAATGTCTTGGCAGTCTTGTGATCCTGCACATGGATGATGTAGCCCTCAGCAGTGCCCCTTAAGTCCGCCTCTAACACCTCAGTGTTGGTCATGTTTGCGTACACACCCGGACGGTGGCCATACAGAAGGCTCCAATGGAGGGTTAGATAGCCATATAGCAGGTACTGGGTGATTGAGGTCGGGTTGCAAGCCATCAGGTCAAGTAAATCAGGGATGCGCTTCTCAGCGGCCGCCATGGCGGCGAGAAGCTCCGCCTGGCTCGGCAGACGATCCAGCTTGTTCCTCTTAATCTTGAACTGGTGGACAGTGACAGACCTTTTCAAGTCGTTCATGTTGGCTTTCACCTCTCTGATGATGTGGGTCATATCAGACTGGGTGAGCCTGCACGGGTCTTCTGGCATACAGGGGTCTCATTATCGGAGGCTGCTGTGGAGCGCATGAGAGTCTTGACCGGGGTTTTGAGAGGGGTCTGACTACAGGAGGCTGCTGGGGACCGCATGACAGTCTTGAGAGGGGTCTGACAACCGGAGGCTGCTGGGGACCGCATGACAGTCTTGAGAGGGGTCTCACAACCGGAGGCTGCTGGGGACCGCATGACAGTCTTGAGAGTGGTCTGACTACCGGAGGCTGCTGTGTTTATGCCGGAGGTACTTGAGATTGCCAGGCCCTTAAATTGTATACATTATTCCTCTTCCTCAAGCACAGCAGCAGTGGCACTCTGCTGCCTGGGTTTTAGCCCCTTTTTCAGCCTGGAGCGCAGGGTCTTCATCTCATCAATGAGGGCATCCTTCTGAGCTCTCAATGCCACATTTTCCAGCATCACCTGCCTGCAGTCCTCTTCGTCACACTCAGTATGTGGGGAGAAGGGTGGAGGGTGCACGGGGTATTCCTCCTCATTGTCTATATCCAATGATGTAGCCATTCCAATGATGGGATTAGTCTCTCTGAGGTCATGGAGCAACTGCAGGGCCACACTATGCTTCAGCCTTGCCAGATGTGCTTCATCTCGGGATAACTCAGGGTGGCCATGAGTTACATGACGGTCTAGTTTCTTCCCAGCATACGAACACCCTGTGATGTGACAGGGTATGGTCCGAACATTTATTCGGCCACTGGCCATTTTAAGAATGATGCCTCTTTCCTCCAAGTTCCGCACTGCATGTTTGTGCTTAAGGTGCTTGTTCAAAGCCAGATAGAAGAGTCTGCACACCGGGCATTCGGACGACATCCTTACTGAAACAGACACAGTTAATTGTATTTCAATTCTGTTGTGTTTCTCCGTTTATATGCGTTAACGTAACCGGTGATTGCAACAAATGTTCGATGCTTCAATGCCTGGTACACGGACCAAGGGAGGACTTGGGTTACCACCTGGCTAAATGGTCCCACCTCCGCACCAACGCGGGGCTGGTGATGGCAACATTGGGTCCGATGCATCAATTCATGGTGGCCCGACCATGAGAGGGTTTGGGGTGCCCCGGAACCAGGCAGTACCCCAGCAGGAAACACGTTTTATGGTCAAAGGAGGAAAGAGTGATAGAACCGGGGTAAAGCAAAGAAAGTGTCCGAAAATAGTGACTTGTAACCCGGGTAGAGAGTATGTCATCTCTCGGTCCTATCCTCCAGACAACATGGTAACGTGGGGACAACAGTACCTCCGGGCGCTCCATCCTGCTCTGGCATTAGCCGCAGCGGGGGGAGGAGGCATTGAACCCCTCACACCTGCCCCGGAGGAGGCAGGGGAGTCAGGTACC